AGGAGGACAGGAGGAGGAGGAGGAGGAGGACAGGAGGAGCAGGGGGAACAGGAGGAGGAGGAGGGGAGGAGGAGGTGGGCAGGAGGAGGAGGAGGAGGAGGAGGAGGAGGAGGGAGGAGGAGAAGGAGGAGGCCCCCGGGGCGGACTCGTATCTGACCCCCCCCCACCCCGCCCCCCCGGGACCGCACCCCCCGACGGGGGAGGGATCAAAGGGAACGGGCTTCCCTTTGACGTGGTTACGACGTGGGTCGATTTCCCTCAAGGCCACTAGAGCACTGCGACGACGACGACGACGACGAGGACGAACAACCCTTCACACACGCCGACACAGGGTCGGCGGATTTTGTGCTCTCCGAGTACTCCAGCGGGCAGCTGCGCCAGTTCTGGTCGGACCGGGTCGGTTTTGTTTGACGTGCATTTGATGCATCAAAGTAGCTATTCGTGAGCGTCCGTCTGTCCTGCCCAACATTCAGCTTCTCGCGCGCTGGCGTGGTTGCCAGTTTTTCCCGGAAAGGGCTCGAGCCCAGGGTTCTCTTTTAGTTGGTTCCCCCCGGTTTTGACGGCTGTAGGGCCGGCGAAATTCTTTTGCGATAAATAACGAGGTCGCGTAGGGCCGGCGAATTAAAAATTGAGGATGTCTCGAGCGAAACGCTTGTTGTTCAGAATTTGTTGAGGATGTCTCGAGCGAAGCGCTTGTTTTGTGTTATAGATTGTCCTCTCCTGGGGACTTCAATTTTGAGGATCTCTCAAGTGGGTTGCTTGTTTTCACGTGCCCAGGTCTTGAGGATGTCTCGAGCGAGACGCCTCCAGGTGGCCCAGACAGATGTCTAGCATGAGGATTTGTTGAGGATGTCTCGAACCAGAAGCTTGTTTTCACGTGCCCAGGACGCCCAGGCGGATGTCTAGCATGAGCATTTGTTGAGGATGTCTCGAGCGAGACGCCTGTTTGCACGTGTCCAGGTTGCCCAGCGACGATGTCTAGCATGAGGATGTGTTGACAACGTCTTGAGCGAAACGCGTGTTTTCACGTGTTCAGGTCGCCCAGGCACGGCACAGCCCTCGGCACGGTACATCAATATCGATACCCTTAGCATTGCAGCCTGGCATGTTGCCTGGCACGTTCCGCGGAGCGTCCCGTGGCGAGTCCCCCTGGCACGTCGCGCGGTGCACGTCCATTGGCACGTTCCGTAGCGCGTCCCCTTGGCACGTCCCGCGGTGCGTGCCCATGGGACGTCCCCTGGCACGTCGCCTGGCGCGTCCCTTGAGACGTTCCGCGGCGCGTCCTCCTGGCATGTTCCCTCTGTCGATTAGTTCTTGGGCAGCTACCATCGGCTCAGGCAGCTCGAGCTTACGATCCATATCAGTTCGGTGAGGACTCGGATGCCAGGGAGGACTCCATCCACAACGCTATATAGAGCACAGTCGCGGCATGGCACATCGCAGTTCAGCACGGCCCAGCACAGCACAGCCGTCGGCACGGTACATCAAGATCGGTACACTCAACTATGCACCTTGGCACGTTCCTTGGCGCGTTCCGTGGCGAGTCCACCTGGCACGTCGCGCGGCGCGTCCCCTGGCACGTCCCTCGGCACGTCCATTGGCACGTTCCGTAGCGCGTCCCCTTGGCACGTCCCGTGGTGCGTCCCCATGCCCCATGGGACGTCCCCTGGCACGTCGCCTGGCGCGTCCCTTGGGACGTTCCGCGGCGCGTCCTCCTGGCATGTTCCCTCTGTCGATTAGTTATGGGGCAGCTACCATCTGCTCAGGCAGTTCGAGCTTACGCTCCAGATCCGTTCGGTGAGGACTCGGATGCCAGGGATGACTCGATCCGCAACGCTATGTAGAGCACAATCGCGGCATGGCACATCGCAGTTCAGCACGGCGTAGCACAGCACAGCCCTCGGCACAGTACGTCATCATCGATACATTCAGCATTGCATGTGCCCGTCGCCCAATCAGATGTCTTTGAAATGTTGCAATGCCTTACATTTCTATATTCCTTTCCGGGCTCGTGGGTCGATCATGTTCGATGACATCCTGCTGTAGATGTCAGCGTAGATGTCAGAAGCCACTTGATCCCAATCCGTCCGTGCTGACTGTACCGAAGCATTTAAATGTATCGTTCCTTCCCTCCCTCCTCCTCCTCCTCCTCCTCCTCTTCATCCGCCTCATTTTGTTCGTTTCCCCTGTAACCATTCTCCTGCATGGAATGTTCGGCGTCGTAGTAATCACGTGGATGCTTCGTCGAGATGGGCGCGGAAATCTGCAGTCCAGTTCCAATGTTTCGGCGTGGAGCGTCCCAGCATTCATATTTTTGTGATTGCGTCATGCTGCAGTTTGCCTGCCTGTGTTGAGAACCCGGCGTTGCACCGGGAAACAGGAAAAAACATATATATATATATATATATATAAACATCTGCGAACAACATGCGTGTCCGCAGATTGTGCTGTGGGCGCACCCCCTGTCCGCAGATTGTGCGCGCACAAGCACAGGCAATATGTCCGCACTTGACAGTACAGTTTGTGGACCCGGGACACCTGTCCACACTTGACAGTACAATCTGTGGATTCGGCCACTGTGCACGATCGCTGCTCGACAACTGGATGGTGCCCCGACCTCGGTGCCTAGTCATGGGGATGGGGCCTGGGTGGGGACCATGTGTCCGCACATGACATTACAATGTGTGGATTGCCTCGTACACGAACTGCAATGAACAGCACCGCGCGGCACTGGGAACATGAGGGAAGATGAGGAGGGAGGGCGAGAGAACGAGAAGGGAGGGATTTCAGAGGGCCCCAACACGCCTCCAAGGAAGGTCGATTCGATGTGGGGAAACGAGCGACATTTCCCTACCTTTGTGAGGCCCTCCAGGGATTGTCTTGGGGTACCCTTGGGTCCCTTATGGGGTCTTTCTGGGAGCCCAGCCGACAACCGACGAGCGCGAGAGCACGGATGAGCAGCACGTTGTGCATGCCGAAGCCAGCGCGAGGTCGGACTGGTGTCCACATCCTTCTTGTTGACCCCCTCCTTCTCCATCTCACCTCCACCTCACTCCTCGCGTTTGTCCTCCTCGTCGCGCCAAAGGGGCCCAATACAGCCCAACAGGGAACAGGGCCTGAAAACGACCAGGGACGTGTTACAGACGCCCTGCTTCCCTCCTTCCCCCATCATCCCTCATTGTTGCCCCTCCACCGCCCCACAGTCGCCGAAACCATGATACCATTCAGGGCGTCGATGATATGTTATATTATGGGCGATGCCGATACCCTTATGCTCAGCAATGTTTGAGTGCACGCACCATGGCAATGGCATGGAGATTGGGTCAATGCTGTGAAATCAACTGATATGCAATACCTATACTCTGCGATGAGGGCCCGGAGAACTACGTTATTGATAATGCAATCGGCCTATAAGTGTTATGTTTTCTGTTGCTGCAGACGACATGCTCCGGGCTGCAATCCGCAGATTGGCAGAATCTGCGGACAGTTGTGTCGGCCGCCATGTAACGGCTCTAGATCCAGGTCCCAACAACAACCCAAATCCTGGCCTTTTTCCCGGACAGGGCTTAGGCACAGGGTTCTCTTTTAGAGGTTTACCCCCAGATTTGACGGCTGATGGGCCGGCGAATTTCTTTTGCGATAAATAACGAGGTCGCGAAGGGCCAGCGAATTAAATGTTGAGGATGTCTCGAGCGAAACGCTTGTTGTTCAGAATGTGTTGAGGATGTCTCGAGCGAAACGCTTGTTTTGTGTCATAGAGTGTCTTCTCCTGGGGACCAGAATTTAGAGGATCTCTCAAGTGAAGTGCTTGGTTTCACGTGCCCAGGTCTTGAGGATGTCTCGAGCAAGACGCTTGGTTTCACGCTTCCAGGTTGCCCAGGCAGAGGTCAAGCGCCAGGATTTGTTGAGGATGTCTCGAGCGAGACGCTTGGTTTCACGCGTCCTTGTCGCCCAGGCGGATGTCTAGAAAGAGGATGTGTTGAGGAAGTCTCGATCGAGATGCTTGTTTGCACGTGTCCAGGTTGCCCAGGCGGATGCCTAGCATGAGGATGTGTTGAGAATGTCTCGAGAGATACGCTTGTTTTCACGTGTCCAGGTCGCCCAGGCGGATGTCTAACACGAAGCTGTGTTGAGGATGTCTCGAGCGAGACGTTTGCTTTCACGTGTACAGGTCGCCAAGGCGGATGTCTAGAATGAGGAGGTGTTGAAAACGTCTCGAGCGAAACGCTTGCTTTCACGTGCCCAGGTCACCCAGGCGGACGTCTCACATGAAGATGTGTTGAGCATGTCTTGAGCGAACTACTTGTTTTCACGTGTCCAGTTCGTCCAGGCGGATGTCTAGCATGAGAATGTGTTGAGGATGTGTTGAGCGAAACGTTTGTTTTCACGTGTCCAGGTCGCTCAGGCGGATGTCTAGAATGAGGATTTTGACAGGATGTCTCGAGCGAAACGCTTGTCCCCAGCACGTTCCGTAGCGTGGCCCCTTGGCACGTCCCGCGGTGCGTCCCCATGGCACGTCCCCTGGCATGTCGCCTGGCGCGTCCCTTGAGACGTTCCGCGGTGCGTCCTCCTGGCATGTCCCCCTGTCAATTAGCTCTGCGGCAGATGCTATGTGTTCAGGCAGCTCGAGCTTAAGATCCAGATCAGTTCGGTCAGGACTCGGATGCAAAGGAGGACTCGATCTACGACGCTATAGAGCACCACCGCGGCATGGCATATCGCAATTCAGCACGGTGCAGCACAGCACAGCCCTCGGCACGGTACATCAAGATCGGTACAATCAGCATTGCAACCTGGCACGTTCCTTGGCACGTTCCGTGGGGCGTTTTTTGGCGAGTCCCCCTGGCACGTCGCGTGGCGCGTCCCCTGGCACATTCCGTGGCACATCCATTGGCACGTTCCGTAGCGCGTCCCATTGGCATGTCCTACGGTGCGACCCCATGGCACGTCCCCTGGCACGTGGCCTGGCGCGTCCCTTGGGACGTTTCGCGGCGCGTCCTCCTGGCATGTCCCCCTGTCAATTAGCTCTGGGGCAGCTTCTATGTGTTCAGGCAGCTCGAGCTTAAGATCCAGACCAGTTCGGTCAGGACTCGGATGCAAAGGGAGACTCGATCCACGACGCTATAGAGCACAACCGCGGCATGGCACATCGCAATTCAGCACGGTGCAGCACAGCACAGCCCTCGGCGCGGTACATCAAGATCGATACAATCAGCATTGCTCTTGCCCGTCACCCAATTAGGTGTCTTTGAAAACGTTGCCACGCGTTACATTTCTATATTTAATCGCTTCGCTCATTCCGCCGGCCCATATTGTCGCACCGTTGTGGGTTAGCCGAGTTTTGGGGCCTCTTGGGGGCCGTTTTGGGGCCTCTTGGGGCCTCTTTTGGGCCTCTTGGGCGCCTCTTGGGGCGTCTTGGGGGCCTCTTGGGGGCCTCTTGGGGCCTTTTTGGGGCCTCCTGGGCGCCTTCTGGGGCGGAGGGCTCGATTTTTCAGTTCTCGGTTCCCCTCTTGAGCCCCTCTTGGGCCCGTCTTGGGGCCTCTTGGTCCGTCTTGGGCGGCACTTGGGCCGTCTTGGGGGCCCTCCTGGGCCGTTCCGGGGCCGTCTTGGGAGCCTCGTGGGCCGTCTTGGAGCGGTCTTGGGGGCCTCTTGGGCCGTCTTGGAGCGTCCGGAAGCCGAAAAAGCCAGAACGCAAAAAACATAAAAAACAATGAAAATCAACGATTTTGGCCTCTTGGGGCCCTCTTCGAAGGCCTCTTGGAAGGCCCTTAGGGCGTCTTGGAGGCCTCTTGGGCTGTCTTGGGGCCCTGTTGGGCGTCTTCGGGCGATCTTTGGCCGTCTCGGGGCCCTCTTGGACCGTCTTGGAGGCTTCTTGGGGACCTCTTGGCCCGTCCTGGGGCCCTGTAACAGGGCTCCGGCATCTCTGGCCCGACCTTGCCGGGACCTTGCCGGGGTACTTTTCGTCTGGGGACCCCCAGGGGCCGCCCCGCGCGCGCGAACTAGAAATACTGTTAACCAGGTACCGGAGATCTTAGCACGCCCTGGCCCGTTGGGCCGGCGAATTCCTTTCCAGGTTCGTGGGTCGATCATGTTTAAGGGGCCCCAACTTCTAGGTAGGGTCGCACTGGGGTAGTTGTGATACTGGGACGACTACTTCTACCGCTACTACTACTACTACTACTACTACTACTACTACTACTACTACTACTACTACTATCACCACTGCCACTGCGACCACGACTAACTACCACACACACGACTACAACCAACATCGTTATGTCTTCTGTTGCTGCTGCTGTTTCCACGACTTCTCCTACTACTAATCGTACTGCCATGCCTACTACTACTACTGCTGCTGCCGCTGCTGCTGCTGCTATTGCGACTACTACTACTACTACTACTACTACTACTACTACTACTACTACTACGACTACTACTACTACTACTACTACTACTACTACTACTACTACTACGACTACTACTACGACTACTACTACTACTACTACTACTACGACTACTACTACTACTACTACTACTACTACTACTACTACTACTACTACTACTACTACTACTACTACTACTACTACTACTACTACTACTACTACTACTACGTAGTCGCGCTACTAATAACACTACGAATGCGACTACGGTTGCTACTGCTACTACTACTACTACTACTACTACTGCTACTACTACTACTACTACTACTACTACTGCTGCTACTACTACTACTACGACTACCTCTACTACTACTACTACTACTACTACTACTACTACTACTTCCACTATTACTACTACTACTACTACTACTACTACTACTACTACTACTACTACTACTACTACTACTACTACTAATACTACTGCTACTACAAGTTGGTCTACTAATAGTACTAGGACGACTACTTCTACCGCTATTACTCCTACTATTCCTACTACTATCACCACTACCACTGCGACCATTTATTACAACACAAACGACTACAACCATCATTTTTTTATACTGCTGTTGCTGTTGTTACCACTACTTCTCGTTCTACAGTTGTACTGCCATGCCTACTACGACTACTACTACTACTCCTCCTACTACTACTTCTTCTACTATTATTTCTATTACTACTCCTACTACTACTAACAATAGTAGTAGTCGTAGTAGTAGTAGTAGTAGGAGTAGTAGTAGTAGTAGCAGCAACAGCAGCAGCAGTAGTTACAATGAAACTATTCGTGGTCGTCTGTGTGGTAGGGAACACAGCTTATTAGAGGCATTCGGGAGACCTCGTAGATGTCTCGTAGATGCTGCTTGTAAGCCTCTTAAAGCCTCCTATAGGCCTCAAAAAAAAAACTCTAGAGGCCACACAGAGCCTTCTAATACGCATAGTACAGCCTCTTGGAGGCTTTTGCCTTTTAGAAGCTTTTAAGTGGCCTCTTAGAAGCCTCATAGAGGCTTCTTAGAGGCCCTTTAGAAGCCTCGCAGACCTTCGTTGTGTCTTCGCAGAAGCATCTCAGAAGCCTCGTCGAGGCTTTTAGTAAGAGGCTTCTAAGAGGCATCGTAGAGGCTTCATTGAAGCTCTTTTAGAAGCCTCTACAGGGGTTCTCAGAGGCTTTTCAGAAACCTCTTAGAAGCTTGTTAGAAACTTCATAGAAGCTTATTTAATCGCTTCGCTCATTCCGCCGACACTCGAGCGCTCCATGGAGCCTCGTTGAAGCCTCTTGGGGGCTTGTTTGGGGCCTCCTAGGGGCCTCTTGGGGGCCCCTTGGGGGTCTCTTGGGGCTCCTCGGCGGCGTCTTGGGATCCCTTGGAGCCTCTTGGAGGGCTCTTGGGGGCCCCCTGGGGCAGGGGGGGGGTAGTCGATTGCAGCCACCCCCTCGGAGGCCACGATCCTTGTGAGGAGTGGCGAAAAATAGCCCCCCCGTGGGGATCGCCCAGGGGTCAGCCGGGGATCGGCCGAGGTATTTTCCGTCCGGGGCCCCCCAGGGGCCGCCCCGCGCGCGCGACTTAGAAATATTGTTAGTAGTTACCGGAGATCTTAGCACGCCTCTGGCCCGTTGGGCCGGCGAATTGTTCAGCAGCCTTAAAGGCGTTTTCTAGAAGCCTCGTAGAGGCTTCGTAGAGGGTTATTAGAGGCCTTTGAGAAGCCTCCACGAGGCTTCTTAGGGGTTTCTTGGAGGCCCCTTCCGAAGCCTTTAAGAGGCTTCTCAGAGGTTTCTTAGAGGTCTCTTAGAAACCTCTAGAAGCTTCTTAGAAGCGTATTCGAGGCTTTCAAGAGGTTTCTTAGAAGTTTCGTAGAGCCTCGCAGTGGCTTCTTGGAAGCTTCTGAAGCCTCGTAGACGCTTCTAGGTTCTAGGGGGCCTTTCAGAAGCCTCTGAGAGGCCTCTAAGAAGCCTCTTGGAGGCATTTTTGCGACGAGTAAGATTTCCTTCCGTATCTACCAGCAAATATCCGGGGAATTCGCCGGCCCAACGGGCCAGAGGCGTGCTAAGATCTCCGGAAACTACTTAAAAATGTTTCTACTTCGCGCGCGCGGGGGCGGCCCTTGGGGGGCCCTGGACGAAAAGTACCCCGGCCGATCCCCGGCTGACCCCCGGGCGACCCCCAGGGGGAGGCTATTTTTCTTCGCTGCGCGTATGGGGAGCACATGCACGACGGCTGCCTTGCCTCTTCATCCTGAGGCCGACGCCCCAATTCATTCATCATTGTGGTGTGCATCGAGCCCCCCCTTTCTTGGACCTCCACGGCCTGGCGGACCTTCTGGGCTACTCCGGCTCCGCCGCCTGAGCGACTGCGTAGCGCGTTCCGGTCGCTTTGGCTCCCTCTTATGGCCGTAATTTAGGGCTTGGCGCGGCTGCCTCATCTCTTGACGGCGCGCGATCGGACCGCGGCGCTCGCGAACAAAAAAAGTACCCCCACCAGCCCATTCATAAACCCTGCCCACGAGCGCTGACAGGAAAAGGGACGAAGGGACACATCTAGGGAAACAAAGCGAGCAACCAGGATGAACCGAAAGATCTCTGGGAGCAAGGGGGTGGCCTTTGAAGGCCTCCTCGGGCCATCCCTTGGGGGCCGCGTGGGGGCGAAGGGAAGAGGAAGAGGAAGAGGAGGAGGAGGTGGAGGGATCCAAAGAGTGCGATCGATCCCTGGTACTTGAAGGGGCCCTGGGACACAGAAATAAATACACACAAATAAAAGGATCCCCCATATTTTCCTCTATGTTTTGGGTTTTTGTCTCCCCCCCCACTTCCCATACTTTCCCATATTTTCCGGGGGATCGACGATAAATTGTGTCTGTGTGTTTTTTTCCCGTCCTGAGTAGTGCTGCTGCTGATGTTGTTGCTGCTTCTGCTGGCGATGCGGCCGGTGCCCTTGAAAGCTTGTTGGGGCCATATGGGAGAGCATCGATCCAAGGATGGGGTGTCCTCAATTTCGGTCCCCTCCCAAAAGCACCCAAACTCGCCTCTTGGAGCGTTCTTGGGAGGGTATTGGAGCTCTGTCGGGGCTCTTTTAGGGGTCTTGGGGTTCTCTTGGGGCCTTTTTGGGGCTCTCTTGGGGCTCTCGTGGGGCCCTGTTGGGAGCCCTGGAAGGCCTGTTGGGGCCATGTTGGAGGCCATCGATCAAAAGGAGGATATGGTATAACGTTCAGCCCCCCCCCCCCAAAGAGGCCAGCCGATTGTCCAAACCGTAATAAAACCAATAATGTTGGCGCGCATCGGGCCGGCGGGGTAACGTTCAGCCCCCTCCCCCCAGCGGCCAAAATGGGGCCAACACCCTTTCCATATAGCCAGTGATTTTGGCGCCCAGAGGGCTGGTGGGATAAAGTTCGGTCCACCCAGAGAGGCCAACATGGGGCCAACACCTTAATACAACAAGTGATGTTGGCTTCATCGCCGAGACCGTTTTGGACGCCCTGACACCTCACCCCCGCAAGCGTCCAGGAGAGGGGTAAACCCTTCCCCGTATGGGGAAGAGGGGTTTCTGGAAAGAGGGAGGAGGAATGTCGTTGGACCACCTGCGCCCGGAGGGCTGGTGGGATGTTGGCCTCTCGAGGGTATCCTTGTGAGGTTCGTTACGAGGCCACTTTGAGCAGTCTTGAGCCAGTCTTGGGGCATCTTTGAGGCATGACGGAAGCCATCTTGAGTTATTTTAAACCTTTTTTGGCCATGTTGATCGTTCTGACCCATCGCGCCCATCCCCTCCCCCCGTCGAGACCGATGGGAGGGGATACGGAGACCGAAATGGGCTGAAAGGAAAAAACTTCTAAATTGGTGGGGTTCGAGCAGAGTGTCATGCGAATCTCTGACCCGCTGAGTGCGTCGGTCGCATCGCGATGGCCCAACAATGAGCAAGTTGATGGGGCTTTTCTGGTTCGCTATGGCATGTTGGTCAGGCTTCGGATGTGTTTTTGTTGGTTGGCTGGTTGGTTCGGGAGCGCTGGAGTGCTGGCGTGGCCATGTTTGCGGCGGTACTGGACCCATCGGAGGTGCGATGCGGCCTTTACAGGGTCTGCGTAACCACTTGGCGCAGAGAACAAAAACGAGATCGCTGATGCGATGGTTCCCCCGCAGGCTCAGGAACAGCTTGCCCTGTCGTGGTTGGCCGGTTCTTTGCGTAATTTGTTCGATGGGGGGAGTTGTCCGGCAAGAGACGCATACCCATTGCATATATGGTGGCCGATTGCCGCCGCCTCGGCCACCTCCTTTGCCGGGCACAGCGACATCATTCCTCCGCTTCTTCGCTCATCTGATCCCCCGGCGGCTGCCCCCTTCGCATTGCGAGTGCGGCTCACCAACTCCGGCCAAGGTAGCCGGCCGATCTCAGACCAGACACCGGCTCCGATTCCGTCGCTCGTCCGATCCAGGGGTAATTCCGGCACTCTGATGTTATCCTTTTGCGTTATGATTGATGTTCCAACCTATTTTAGCCTTGATCGCCAGGAAGAATTTCGGGCGCCCAAAAAAGTACCGAGACTCAAGGGTTTTCACGTGCCGGGCCCTGGGAGACGCTGTTTCGACACTCTTTTGACACTTTTCTGGGTGCTCGAAATTATTTCTGGGATGCGGTCCTTAAGTCGGACGGGAGCAACATAACCTCTGCGGTGGGGAAGGCCACCTGCCTTGAAGCGGCGCAGGTCAAGCACGTGATCGTGAGGGACCTGCCGAAGGCTGGGCAGGCGCTCAGGACGGGGGCTCCACCAGCGGCTGCGCCGCCGTTCCGGGAGGGGGAAGTTTGTCACCACTCACCAAACCACCCCAACCCAACCCGAAGGCTCAGATTTACCCTCCATTCCCAGTGGGGGGGGGATCGGGAAACATAGAAAAAACACACGTACCCTTACCCCCCCCAACCCGAAATTCGGGTCTTCGGGTTGGGTTGGGGTGGTCTGGTAGGTAGTCAGTTTGGGACACAATGGCGTGAGGATGGCCCGTCGTCCGCCCAGAGCAGCACGGATCGCCATGGGGGGAACGGGTCCTGAGGGACACGGGTCCTGCGGTTTTTCGCCGTGTCCGGGTCCTCGGGGCCTTCCGTTGGCCCCGGGACTGCCAGGCAACGACTCGGGATGGAGACTTCGTCTTGGGGGAAGGCCCCCGGCGTCCAGGACCTGTTTTTCCGTCAGGATCCGTGGCCCCCGCGTTACGGATGGCCCGCCGCCGAGCGCAGCACGGATTCGAGGAGACCTTCCACGGATAAAGGCGAGGCCGACGCGTGCCTCCTGCCGCGGCGCGAGCAGCGAGCGGCGGGGGGATGGGCGGGTTTTTTTTGGTCCGACCCCGCACCTCGCACCATCTGTGGGGGCGGGCGAAAGGGGGGGATTGGGACAGGGGGGGTACGAAATTTGCTGCATGCAGCTGGTTTCGGCCCCACCGAGGGGCCAATCCCTCGATACATAGCCGCCTCCGGCGCCGGGAGGCGCCGGGAAAATCAGCTACGTGAGCTGATTCTCAAATCACCCCTTTGCGAATCCCCCCCTTTCGCCCGGCCCGAATCTGGCCCCAGCCACGCGCACAAGTGTCGCCTGTTGGGGGGCGGGGTCCCGCGGAGGCCCAGGGGCTGCCCCCGCACGCCCCTCGGAGGATCGCGCCGCGTCGGCGATGCATCTAGGGGAACAACAAGTGGCATAAACATAAAACTCGGAGGTCCGCGCGGATTTCTCGGATCGGCGCTGGACCCCCCTCCCTGGCGCGCGGAGCGCGCCAGGGGCGGCGCCGGAGGCGCCGCTGGGGGGCCCCAGCGCCGATCCGAGAAGTCCGCGCGGACCTCTGAGTTTTTAATGTTTATGCCACTTTTTGTTCCCCTAGCATCGGCGATGCGGCTGGATGCCGAGCCCGGCTTTCTCCACGCCGACGTGGATGCATCGCCGATGCCGCCGATGCATCGACGATGCATCGGTGATGCGGCTTCAGTGCGGCGGGATTCTCCGGCCCCATCTGCCCCGACTCAGCTAGGCCCCTGGACAGCCCGAGGGGCGCGCCAGCCGTCGGGGGGGCGGGTCTTCCTCCGGCCGCCGCAG